TTCCCCAGCCCTCCCTTCAACCCCTCCAGTCCTCCCTATTTACAAAGATTTTGTTCCTATTTTTCCATTTTCTCATAGTAATCCCATTCCCTTCTATCCTTTCCCCTAGGCCTCCCACTTCCTTCCCCTTTAAGCAGGCTTATTTTCTGAGTCTGCCCTCACTTTCACTATTTCAGTACTAGATGGCAGGCTAAATCCAAGTTTGTCGTCAGCTATTGTGTTATCATTATCTCAACACTAGAGGGCGACTGAAGCCCAGGTTTGTCCCAAATACAGTGCCTGGCTAGTGTACTGTTCATTAAGGACCAAGCAGCATACACAGAAAGCTTGTCATCAGTAGAAATACAATCTTTTAGATAATATTTGCATAATTTCTCTTTTCATTTTTGATCTGATAATTTTCTGTATCTAATATTTAAATATGTCACTTGTAAAGGGCAGAGATTTTGTTTTTGAGTAATACTTTGTCTTTTAACTGAAATATTTGTCCATTTGCAATATATAATCACTTTATATTTTTATTTAACTTTGTAATCTTGCTATTTTCCTTGCTTGTTTTGTGTTTCTTTATCTGCTTGCTTTCGTTTAGACTTATTGAGTATATTTTATTCATTTATATATTTTCTTCTATCATTTTGGGAGCCCTATACCCTATTTTATAGTCTATTACTTCTTACTGGTTATCTTAGAAATTATAACATGCACCAAATTATCGAGGTTTAATGTTAGTTAACACTTTTATCTCCTAGATAAGAATTTTAGAATCCTCTTTTCTGTTTACCATCAATCTAGATTTTATGCTGTTGTTGTCATATATTCTAAACAAGTCTTTCATCTTTATAAGTTTATTATCTCAGATATTTGGTTAAAGTAACAGAAAGCTGACTAACACACCACACCATGGTTAATTCTTGGTGGAAAAGAAGATTATAAATATGACCGATATGAGCTATTCTTCCTATTGCCCCTGGATCATCAAGACTTCATGTCATGCTTATAGTGACTACCATTTAAATTATTTAGCAAACCCAGTGAAAACTGTTTCTATCACTAAAAAGACTTGAGAATTTAGGTTGCTGATGAGTACAGCACAGGCACCACTAAGCATTAGACAAACAATCATTCTTCAGCTCTCTGATTCTTGCCATCAACCTGGATGACATCAAGATTGATGAGGGGAATCAGCTCTTGGCTCCAGTCTGTCATTGTCTTAGTTACTTTCTTGTCACTGAGACATGATTCCTGACACTCAGGATTAAAGGAGGAGAGGTTTATTTTGGCTCATGATTTGTAGAGGTTTTGGTCCACAGCCAGATGGCTGCAAGACTGGGTGGCATGGCAGAGGAGAAATAGCAAGAAGCGATCAAGGGAGGAGGGGGGAGATGGACCTTTGCAGGTCATGCCCTCAGTGACCACCTCCTCCAACCAGGCTCCATCTCCTAACACCACAGTTAGCTGTCAACTCATTGTGAACTGATCCATCCATGATCCAGTCACTTCCCCAAAGGCCCACTTATGAGTGCTGGAGGCTTTGGGGAGACATCTGGATAAAGAACATAACAGTCATTTTCTCGGGATTTTATATCCTTCATTAGAGTCACTGTGTTCTCTCAGGATGCCACTCACAGTGTCTTGTTACCATCGATAATCAGTAAATTTTACTCTGAAATTTGGATAACATGTCTGGGCTTTTCTCTAAAAATGGAGCTCTGGGAGAGGATTTGTGTCTTTCTTATGGGAACACTATACCTTTATTTTGCCATTTTGTAATAAGAGAGTCCAGTGATGGCCATCTTGACTGCTGGAGATGAGGAACTCCTTTACAAACATGCGGGTCAGGAGGGATTTCACTCCCTGGGTGATGATTCCGGTGACTTTCATTGTCTTCTGGAAGTCCACTTGCAGCCATTCTCTTGGGTTATTCACCTGAGAAAGACAGTGCTGGATTAGTAGTCTGTCAGTCCCCATTTGCTCCTAGAAATCTCCAATTCCATTGCTAACCATACCACAGGACGGATTGCTCTGAATTCCTTTTTCCTTAGTACTTGGGATTGAACCCAGAGCCTTCACAATGAACTACATCCACATCACTTTTTAAATTTTGAAACAGAATCTCACTAAGTAACTAAGTTGTCCAGTCAGGACTTGAACTCCCAAAGTGGTGGGATTATAGACATGCACCACCACGTGCAGATCACTCTTCATTTTAACAGTTAGTAAGTCTTCCTTATTTGACTAAGAAAATTGACGACCAAAATTTTTCATAACTCATTCCTGTATCCTCAGCGTGAACCAATGAATGCCAAGTGGACACCAATAGGTGTCCAATGAATGCCAAGTGAATATAAGAGTCATATATAAACTGACAAATATATACATTGGCAATGCATATAAAAACTATTTCATTTAAAATAAACCCTTGGAGGAGCAAAGACAACTAATTCTATTAAGTCCCCTAAAAAGCTATTCAGTAATGCAGAATAATAAGCTTGGTGGCTCTGGAAAATATCTTTGTCTAATGAACTCCACATAACTGCAACCCTTTCCATTGAAGTACTGAGAAATCTAGAAGAAATCTAATTATTAATACTTATCTGTAAAACTAAAGCTAAAATATACTATTATTATTTGACATATATTAGGCCAGTACTGGAGACAGATTCATCTCCTAGTGATCATCCTTCCCCACAATGAATGCTGTGTGAGATCACACGGGATATTCCCAAAAGCCTGTGGGTGTATATGCCTATAGTCAACCTTCCTAGATACTCTTTTTGGGAAAATAGTTGACAGAAACACTTCTAAAGAAATAAGGGCTTCCTTACTCTTCCCAAACGCTACTCCCTGCTCTATGTCAGTTGAGTGGTAGAGATGTTGCTTCTTACCTGAGGTCTCCAGGCATTAGTCCTCCCCTGGAGGTGAAGACGGGCTTGTGAAGGAGACCAGGTGGAAAACTTATTGGTGAAGTAGGATGATGCGGTAATCTGTGCATCTGATATTAATTTACTCTCCATTCCCAGCGGTATGCTGCAACCTCAAAGAAATGATGAGACTGTTATCACAAGGACAGGTTACAGCCTGGGTTCTACTGGGCTGGCTCCAATACTCCAGGGCTGCTGTCATCATGATCAATTCTTAGGCTCTAAATTTGCACAAATTCTATTACTGTTAACATGTCACTGCTCAGCTGGTCAGTTCTGCTCAGCTCTGTTTCACTTTGATTTTCCTTACTAAGAGAAATATAGGATGTGATTGTCTCTGGGAAATCCCATTAGGCTAACAAATTCCCAGGTTTTCTCAGGACTGTGTTGGTTTTATTTCTGATAGTTCTGTTCTGTGTCCTGAGACAGTTAACTCCTCCTCCTGGTCTCAGGACAAGTAGAGTAGTTGGTTATCCTGCTCATGTTGGGCAATAAAAGGATGTGGAATGATTTGTCACTTACTGTTTAAGTCACAGCCCATCAACTCCATGCGAAGAGTGCTGCGAATGTTATAATGAGTTGGGTGCAAACGGATGTACTGTGCAACAATTGGAGGATTAAAAATATTGTGCTTTATTCCAGATGAATCCACATTGCCAAAGAAGACCTGTTAGGAGAATTATCACAGACAAATGGAAAGTGAATACAAAATGAAAAGCAATTTCTCTTTCACATCTTACTTTTAATTTTGCTGTCTACATTTCTTAACAATATCAAACATCTAAGTAAAACCATGCTGGATAGATGTTAGGATAGTATATGTGAAGGAGAAAAGCACCAGGAAGAGTGGAACAAAAAGATTATGTCTGATCTGGGGGAAAATGAAGTAGTTTTCTACCTTGGGTTCCTGTGTAAAGCTTATAAAAGTTGAAGAAGCCAGTTAGGCCTTTGCTATTCCAGTATAGTATCACCTAGGAGCAATTAGAAAAGTAGCATTGAGAGAGTGACATCAGTTAAGTTGGTGGAATAGGAGATACCTTGCTCTCATTTCCCCTGCACAGGAACAATGATTGGGCAGCCATCTGTGGTCAAAAGTACCTTTGCTGTTGTCTTGAGATCCAGGTAAGAGGTTAAGAAACCTCAGTGGAGCCCCTAATCAAGTATAGTTGCTTTGATAAGGCAATCCTGAATCTTGGTGGCAGGCTGCCAACTGTGGTCCTGGCTGCAGACTCAGAAGCAGCTTACCCACCTGGAGTTAGCTCCAAATCCACTTGTGTATGGACTGGACACCATCCTTATCCATTCAGGGACATGGGAGGGGCAAGTCCCGTTTGTACTCCCAGTAAGAGCTTGGCTATGATTTAGATGTGGTTTGGAAGCTTGGTCCTCGCTGTAGTGATGTTAAGAGGTGGCAGGACCTTTAAAGGGTAGAGCCTAATGGGAGCCACTGCCTTCAGAAAAGATTAGGGTGGTTCTCATGCGATCTCTGAGTTACTCCTCACAAGAGTGAATTGTTATAAATGAGCAGGCCTGGCCTCTGAATCACTCTCTGCCTTTCTGTGTTGTCATATGATCTTTCCCTCTCACATACCACTCAACTATTGTGATCCTATCTGCCATTTGGCTCTCACCATAGATGAACATAAACCAGTGCCATGCTATTGAACCTCCAGAATTATGAGCTACATAAATATCTTTTATTTATAAAGTATTCAGCCTCAGGTGTTTGTTCTAGGAACAGGAAATGGACTAGTATAAGTCCAACTGTGGACTCTAAGGAAGCTCTGGGACCCAGCTCTAGCTCCATACCTCTATGGTCTGTGGGGAGTTTGCCTGCCCAGGGAACTCCTGGGGGCCAGGCCAGTCCATGACTCCAGAAATAAGTCCATCCACCAGACCTGAATACAGATACAGACCAACTTTAGTCCTGTTCTACCATGATCGGAAGGCAATCCTGTCTGAACATGCATTTGGTGGGAGCTTGTCCATTTGTGCTCCCAAAACAAACCTGCTGACCACGGTCTCAACTGAGGACCCTGAAGCAGCCCTGCTATCCATTCCCAAGGCTGCTTCACCACGGTCTTCAGGCAGTCCTGCTCACCCAGGGTCCTGGAAGAAGGAACACCCTGCCCTTGTTACCTTTGCTGCCTTGAGTGTGCCATGTTGTTTCTCCTCTGTGAGGCCTGTTTGTCATCGCTGCCTTGAAGTAGGCCGATTATGGACTGAAACCTCTAAGAACTATATAGAAGAGAGCATACTGGCCGTGCTTCAGATTCCTCATCCAAATTAATTAGCCCAAGTCAGTACACTGTTGCATGAAAATCTGCTTTTACAACTTTGGGAGGAGGTTGAAAGTGAGTCATCAGGTGATTCAGCTACTAATGATGATTTGGATCATGTAAGCTAAAGAAGTTAGCAATATATGACAGATATGACAGATAAAGAAGTACAGAATGAAGACCTTGATCCAGATGAGGAAGAAAACAGTAATGTAAATAAATATTTGAATGGTCACATATACCTGAATGTTCTGATGTTAAAACTAGGTCAGAAAATGTTATTGAGTTCTTGTCAAAAGTGAAACCTATTGGACGGAATGGCAACACTGCGATTCAGTGTTGGAAATTGTTTGCAACGGGGACAGTATTCCACAAGATGCTTTGAAATACATTAATAATGAAGTACAAGAAAACATTCTAAATGCATCAATAGTAATGCTCAAAAATATATTCATCATGACATCTCACTATCTGAACTAAAAGTCTTCATAGCAAGACTTTTCATTCTAATCAGCAGAATCTAGAGGATTTATGGAGAAGTGACAGATGTGGCATTGATATTTTTAGAACAATAATGACACTCAAGGGATTTGGTTTCCTTCAAAATTGCCTATGTTTTGATGACAAAAAACCCGCCAAGAAAGAAAAAAATCCAACAATTTGGCTGCTATTTGCTCATTCATTAAAGGCTTTCTTTCAAACTGTCAAGCAATTTATACACCACCCAAATACATGACAATTGATAAACAACTTGCATCATTTCATGGTTGTTGAAGCTTCCAGCAATATACAAGTAAACCTTCTAATATGGTATAAAAATATATGCCTTGGTAGATGCAAAAAAGACATTGTACACCTTGAATTTAGAAATTTATCCTGGAACTCAACCTCCAGGTTATTCTTCATTTTATTACATTCTTCAGTTTATTACTGTATTGCTTTGTGAACAGATTTGTTGCACCTATTTCAAAAAGTAACCCAAATGTCACATTTGACAATTGGTTCACTAGTTACCCATTGATATTACATTTGCTAAAAGAACACCAGTTGAACTATTCACAAGAACTACTCCCACAGGAACTATTCCAATGAACAAAGTGGAGATTCCTGAAAAAATATTGCAAGTTCGCAATAGAGAAATGTATAGTATAAATCATTGAGTTTCAGAAAGACATAACATTAGCCTCCTATATGGCAAAGAAAAACAAAGTACTATTGATACCATCAGCATTACACCATGATGATAAGATTGTTAGTGACACTTGGTGTGGTGATGCATACCTGTGATCCCAGTACTTGGGAGGCTGAGGCAGGAGGATCTTGTGAGTTCAAGGTCAGCCTGTGCTACATAGTGAGTTCAAGGCTAGCCTGGACTACATAGCAAGACCTTGTCTTAAAACAACAACAAAAAAGACTGATAGTGAATCCTCAATACAGAGGAAGCCAGAAATGGTCACATTTTACAAAAAAAGGAAAGACAGAGTACATATTGTTGACAAGTTATGTAGTAACTATGATGACACTCAAAACACAAAGTGTTGGCCCAAAGGTTGTGCTTTACTCGATCCTAAACTTGTGAGGCATAAATAGTTTCATAATTTACAAAGAAACTAACAAGCACAGAATATCAGAGAAATTTTCTTAGAGGTTTGGGACTGGAATTGATAAATGATAAATTACAACAGAGGAAGAACAATGCGTATTTGCCCAAAGAACCCCTCAAAAGAATTCTGGAGCAGATTGGTAAACAGACAGGAGAACCATCACAAGAACCTCCTAAGAAGACAAGAAGAGCAGTAAGATGTCAAGTATGTCCTACCAAAGAAGACAGGAAAACACATGTGCTATCACTGTAAGCGACACCTGTGTATGGAACATGCTGTTCTTATGTGTAAAAGTTGCCTTAGATGTGATAATTGAAGCAAAGATTATTTCTGTGGTAGAGTTTTGTTTGTATTTTCATTATAGTTCACATAGGAATTTATTTCTACTGTAATTTCTTAGATCTTGTAAGCAGGTAAACAGTTGATGTTGACAATGTTGATGTTTATTCTATATACTCACTATATATTAAAAATTTAATGTTTTATTTTATTGATATTTTATTTTCCTGTTACATATGTATTGTTTAATATAATAAAATTCATAATATTCAAAAAAAGAAGGAACACCCCTCTACATTCTCGATAACAGGTCCACTGACTAAGGACCCTAGTGCACACCCAGAAGAGACCCTTCAAATGCACAGACATCAAAACAAGCCTACACAGACCACAAAGAACTTGCCAACCATGACATCAGCAAAGGAAACTAAAAAAGCTCCAGTAACTAACCTTAAATAAATGGAAATATATGAACTGTTTGACAAAGAATTCAATATAATTGAAGAAGTTCAGTGAACTACAAGAGAACACAGGCAGGGCTGGGGATTTAGCTCAGTGGTTTCACTGACTGCCGCGCAAGTGCAAGGACCCGAGTTAGATCCCCAGTACCAAAAAAAAGAGAACACAGACAACTAACAAAACCAGAAAAACAGTACATGAACAAGTGGGAAATTTAATAAAGTAATAAAAACCATTTTAAAAGAACCAAAGAGAAATGCTGGAGCTGAAAAATACAATGGCTAAAATGAAAAATTCAATAGAGATCTTCAACAGAAGACTTAATCATGCAGAAGAAAGAATAAGTGGATTTAAATACAGGTAATTTGAAAATATCTACTTAGAGGTTCAAAAAGAAAAAAGAATGAAAAACCATAGAGAAAACATAAGGGACTTATGGAAAATTATATAAAAAAGCAATTTACACATTATAAGAGCCTGTTTTTTTTTTTGATTTGTTTTGAGACAGGGTCTCATTATGCAGTTCAGACTGGCCTTAAACTCACTGCTATCCTCTTGTCTCAGTCTTCTGAGTGCTGGGATTACAGGCATTCATCACCATGTCCAGCTTCTACAGGAGTCTCTAAGAGGAAAGATCAAAGGAAATTAAAGAAATAATGGGTGATAACCTCCCAAATATAAGGAGGGAAATGAGCATCTCAACTCATGAAGTCCAAATAGATTGAACTCAAAAATATTTATGTTGAGACATATAATAATTAAACAATAAAAGACTAAAAACAATAAAAGACAAGGAATTTTGAAAGCAACATAAAAACGATTTATCACTTACAAGAGAGTTTCATAACACTATAGTATACTTCTCAGCAGAAAATTTACAGTCCAGGAGACAGCAAGACAATATGTTCAAAGTATTGAAAAAAAAACTCCAGCCAATAATGTTTTATCTTGAACAATTGTCTGTTAAGAATGAAGAAGAGATAAAGACTTTCCCAGACAGACTGTGAGAGTTTGCTCCTGTAGGCCTGCCTTACAAGAAATGTTACTAATTCTCCTGGTTGAAATAAAAGACATTAAAACAGCCCACAGATATAAAAGTCTTCAAACACTAGTAAGCAAGATTCAACAATACATCACAATAATTATTTAATATGAAAAAGTGGGACTTCTCTCTAGGATACAAGGATGGATGAACATAATAGAAACCATCAATGTGATACACTAGGTTAATATGGTGAAAGACAAAAACCAAATAATCCTCTCAATAGAGTCAGAAAAAGAACTTTGCAAAAGTTAACATTTATTTATAATAAAACTGTCAAGAACATAGGTACAGAAAAAACTCACTTTAGCATAATAAAGACCACATGGAAAGAGCTTACAGCCAATAGTATAACCAATGGGGAAAACGGAAAGCTTTTCCTCTGATGTACTGTACAAGGGAAAGATGCTGGCTCTCACTACTTCCACTGACCATAGTACTGGAGCCCTAGACAGAGCAATTAGACAAAAAATAAATAAATGGCCAATAAAACTCTCTTTTTGCAGATGACATAATCATATATGTAAAAGAAACCCTAAAGGGGCTGGGGATTTAGCTCAGTGGTTCCGCCGCCTGCCTTGCAAGCGCAAGGTCCCAAGTTCGATATCCGGTACCAAAAAAAAAAAAAAAGAAACCCCAAAGAATAAAAAAAAATAGCTAGAACAAATGCAATTCAGTAAAGTTGCACAATACAAAATCAACATACAAAAATTAGTGGTGTTTCTATGCACAAACAATGAACAATACAAAAAGGAAACTGAAAAAACAATTCCATTTGCCATAGCAACAAAATACTAAAATGAATAACAATAAAGTTAACTGAAGAAATGAAAAATTTGTTCACTAAAAATTACGAAACTTTTATGAAGAAAATTAAAGATAACACTAATAAATAAAAGGTACCTCATATTCATGAGTTGGAAGAATTATTTCTGTTAAAATATCCAAATGACCCAAAGTATTCCACACATTCACTACAGTCTCTACGAAAATCCCAATGGTATTCTTTACAGGAATAGAAAAATACCCTAAATTCACAAAAGAACACTCAAAGCCAAAGCTAACTGAAGCAAAGCTAGAGCCATCACACTTCTAGATTTCAACATATTACAAGACTATAGTAATAAAAGTAGTATGGTACTGACATAAAAGAAGACATACTGACTAGTGGAACAGAATGGAAAGCACAGCAAGAAGTCAATGCATTTACTATAAACAGATTTTAAACAAGGATACCCAGATCACACAGTGAGGAAAGGATAGTAAATAGCATTGGGAAAACTGAATATATACATACACAAAAATTAAATTTAACCCTTTTCTCACACCATACATGAAATCAACTCAGAATGGATTAAACACTTACAAGTAAGACCTAAACTATAAAGCTTCTAGAAGAAAACGGAAGACAAAAGTTTATTGCTATTAGGAAATTTGGCCCTGGCA